TTTCTTTATTTTGATGAATTGAATATTTGGTTTCAATTTAAATCATTTTTCACTTATTTTCTATCATGTTCTGGATCTTGACTCGTTAACTTGACCTGTCTTCAGGCTTATTATATACTTAAGCCAAATTATAAACCTTCAGACACTGATATTCTTTATGCCGAAGCACCTTCATTTGTTACTTCCCTGAACTTCTCGTTCCCACTTCCACTAGTTTTGCCCAGGTAAGTCTGCTATTCATGTTTCTGAGCAGAGTCCTTCACACCTTTGTTCTGTGGATATAATCCTGCTGTAAATCCTATTATACATGTTATTCTGTGACCTTCAAGGCATCACTGTCAGGTATTAATATATATATGCAGGTGAAACATGAAATGTCTTTCTTCTCCATTGTTTAGCATACACAATCAAGTTTTAAAACCTTTGAGCTTCCTTCCATTTAGAAATTATCACATACGTTATAAGAATAGAAAAACAGATGTGCATGTTCGAGATCAATTATTATTTCGTATGTTTCAATAATTGGGCTTTTGGTTCCATTTTCTTAGAACATCCATTAGGGTTTAATTAGGGTTAGGGGTTAGGACTATTGAAATAGACTAGTATTTGATACCTAGGGTTATCTTTTGTTAGATAGAGTTGCCGGCTTTAAGCTTGGGCGAGAAGTTTCTTTCCGAAGTGTCGGCCTTAGGCTGGGCGGGATTCGTCCTGATTTATTTCGAGTTATTTTCCTAATTAATAATATCGATTATCTATTATTTTTGTTCGCCTTCACCCTTAACTCTATCAATTTGTCTCACCTGCGGGATCTAATAATTCAGATGGAGAAACGCATGGACACGATAGAGAAGGGTGTTACGTTATCAACGAGGATCGTTTGTTGGCACAACTTAGCCGAATTCAAGAGTTGATGAAGCAACTACTCATAAGAAAGGGTTGCTACCACCGAAGATGTTGCCAGCACAAATAGTGCCCCAACACCCGCGGTTGAACTTGATCCTCCTCCTGTGCTTGTTAGGGCATCTTTATCAAAGAGTTTAAGGTTTACAAATGTAAACTAGGTTTACTAATAAAATGAGGAGGTTTAAGGTTTACAAATGTAAACCAAGTTTACATTCTTAAACCTCACATAAACCTCAATAAAAAAATATTAAAAGTACAAAAATGGGAGTTATAATTAAAGATATTAATAAGAATATAAGAGAGTAATATTAAATAAATATAAGTGGGAAACATGTGGGACCATAAAAAATAAGTTTATGAGGTTTATTGTTATTGGAGGTTTATGAGTGTAGGAGTTAGAATGTTTTGGATGATTTAACATGTCGGAAAGTGTAACAGGGGGTTTAATTGATAGAGATGCTCTTATGACTGTGGTTGTTATGTGTGCAACACTTGTTCCTCTTTCCGTGGTGGCTACTAAAGCATCTACACCTACTTTCGAGATGGCGAGTCCTTTACATGCACTAATTGCTAGTCTCTCCACAACCAATCTGGGGTTGGTAAAACATCATATATTGATTAGCAACGAAATGAGAGTCGGATGATGGACCTTGTGAAGGACCAAGAGTTTGTAATTTGTATACATCTGCCAACATGATGAAGGTGGTGGGCGTAAAGCGGCATGGTTTCGTTCTACTGTGAAGCTCGACAATCAATGGAGAAGTTGAGCCGAGAAAGGTTCGATCGTCCGCGATTTGAACAGGTGGCCTGGTCGCGGCAGATTGAGGAGATGACGATGGCGGAGCACGGCCGTGTAGGTGAAGCCTGGTCCTGTCGGATTGCAAAACATGGTAGTGGGCTAGAGGAAACTTGGTGTCGTCGAAAGGCCCTGCGCGATAATTATCGTTGATAGTCATGGTCTCGCCAGAACGGCAGTGAGCATGCATAAGGAAGGACACGTATGAGGTGAACTCACGTACGATTCTGATATGGAGATTCTTTTATTTGAATGGCGACGGATGTCAACCCAATCTGAAGGAAATTATGCGAAAGCTTTACATATGCGACTAGAAAAGATTAAAGTTATATACTCTATAATATAGGTCTTGTCCATACAAGTAGAGGCTTGGTTGAGGCGAGTTGCGGTGATCTACTACGTATACTCGGCCAAGTGGCAGGAAAGGAGAAATAAAAAGGAAAACGAGGAAACATGTTGCAGATAGGAAAAGGACCGTATTGCATGATCCTACGAATTTGGAATTAGGCCACACCGATTTGTCTCCTCATAGTCAAGATTTAAGATGTATTTCGAAGTTGGTTTATGCTTTGAGGACAAGGCTGTTTTGAACGGCGGAACGATTGTTAGAGATCAATTGTTATTTCGTAAATTTCAATAATTGGGCTTTTAGGTTCATGTGCTTAATATACATTAGGGTTGTAATTAGGGGTGTAGTTAGGACTATTTAAATAAACTAGTATTTGATACCTAGGATTATCTTATGTTGAATAGAGTTGCGTGTTTTGACACCAAATTTTTCTAACAATCGCAAGACGAATACTTTCAACCTACAGAACTGGTGGCCTCCACCGGAGATGGTTCCTACACTCAGCAGCCGATTAACCACACTGTCCATCATCATGTACTTGCTGTCCATGTCCCTACTGTTGAAAAGCCCGAAAAATTCAACGGGATTAACTTCAAGAGATGGCAACAGAAGATGCATTTTATCCAAACTACTTTGGGTTTGGTGAAGTACCTGAAGGACGACCCCCAGTTATTGCTGAAAATAAGACCGATGTTGAACTACGCGCTTCGTACGAGGCTTAGGGCAAGGTGATTACCTTTGCCGTAATTATGTTCTGAACGAACTTATTAATGAGTTGCACAATGTGTACAGCTCGGTTGGTTCTGTCAAAGAGCTTTGGGCTGCTTTGGAGAAGAAGTACAATACTGAGGATGCCGGGGCGAAGAAATTCTTCGTTGGCAAATTTCTTGACTTCAAAATTTTAGACACTAAAACCGTCGTGTCTCAAGTGCAAGAGTTCCAACTCATTTTGCATTATATCCATGCTGAAGGAATGTATCTGAGTGAGTCATTCCAAGTTGCAGTTGTGATTGAAAAGCTGCCGCCGGGTTGGAAAGACTTCAAGAACTACCTCAAACATAAGAGGAAGGAAATGAGTCTTGAAGACCTGGTTGTTCGTCTTCATATTGAGGAGGACAACCATAATTCATCCGGGAAAACTCCGATGATGGAGGCTCGTGCTAACTTACTGGAGCAAGACAACTCGAACAAGAGAAAGTCCATTGATAAAGGGAAGCAACCAACCAAGGTTTGGAAGTTTACCGGCACTTGCTACAACTGTAGAAAGCCGAACCATATGGCTAAGGATTGCCTAAGAAAGCTGAACCATATGTCTAAGGTTTGGAAATTTGCTTAAGAATGCTGGACAAAAGAAGGCGCAATCGAGTGCCCTTGTTGCTGAACAATGCCCGGGTGAATTGACCGACTTTGATATGTCGGCTGTGGTGTTTGAAGCCAATATGGTGGATAACCCAAGGGAGTGGTACATCGATACTGATGCCCCTCGCCATGTGTGTTCCGACAAGGAGTTGTTTTCTGACTACACTTCTTCTAATGGTCGGAAACTTCACATGGGAAATTCCTCCACGTCTGATGTAGCTGGAGTTGGCACAGTGCTGCTGAAGCTAACTTCTGGAAAGAAGTTGAAGCTTAAGGATGTTCTGTATGTTTTAAACATCCGCAAGAATTTTGTCTCCGGATCTCTTCTTGTTGAGCATGGATTTAGGCTGGTGTTTGATGCTAAAAAGGTTGTTCTTAGCAAGTTTAAGTTTGGAACATTCCTTGGTCGTGGCTATCTCGACAAGGGTTTGTTCAAAATGAATGTAATGGCCGTGAGTCGTGTAACCGTTTACAATTAGAATGAAAAGCCTATTTCTATTTATACCGTTGAGTGCTCTGATTTATGACATATTAGATTAGGACATGTAAATCTAAATGCAATTAAACGGTTGATGAATTTAGAATTAATTTCTAATTCTAAAATTGAATCACATAAAAAATGTGAAATTTGTGTTGAAGCTAAAATGACTAAGTTGCCTTTTCACTTGGTGGAAATGAGTACTGAACCATTAGGCTTAATCCATACTGACGTATGTGATCTGAAAATTGTGCAAACAAGAACGAGATTGCACAAGATTTTGCTACTTATATTTGTTAAGAAACAAAGCCGAGGCGGTGCACAATCTTGAGATTCACCAAATAGATGTCAAGACGGCATTTGAATGTTCAGTTGGAAGAAGAAATTTACATGAAGGCCATTTGCAGATGGGACAATAGTTTACATGGAACTGAAAATTTACATGTAACAATAATTTATGCACTTTGACAATAATGAGACAATTTGACAGATGACCATTAGCAGAGGAATCTTCACGCAATTGGAAATTGTCCAATCTGTCAATTGCATGAAGATTCATTTGCTAATGGTCATCTGTTAAATTGTCTCATTATTGTCAAAGTGCATAAATTATTGTTACATGTAAATTTTCAGTTTCATGTAAATTATTGTCCCATCCGCTAATGGCCACCTTCGGGTAGTTCCATGTTAGTTTCTTATTCCAATTCACCATTCAAAAATGCCATTTTGACATTCATTTGGTGAATCTAAAGATTGTTCATCGTCTCGTCTTTGCTTCTTAACAAATATAAGTAGCAAAACTTTGTTGTGCAATCATCGATAAAAGTTATAAAGTACTTTTTACCCGTTCTGGTTTGCACAATTTTTAGATCACATACATCAGTATGAATTAAGTCTAATAGTTCAGTACTCATTTCCACCGAATGAAAGACAACTTAGCCATTTTGGTTTCGACACAAATTTTACATTTTTTATGTGATTCAATTTTAGAATTAGGAATTAATTCTAAATTCATCAGCCGTTTAATTGCATTTAGATTTACATGTTATAATCTAATATGTCATAAATCAGAGCACTCAACGGTATAAAGGCTTTTCATTCTCATTGTAAACTGTGACACGACTCACGGCCATTACATTCATTTTGAACAAACCCTTGTCGAGATAGACACGACCAAGGAATGTTCCAAACTTGCTAAGAACAAACTTCTTTGCATCAAACACCAGCCTAAATCTATGCTCAACAAGAAGTCGATCCGGAGACCAAATTCTTGCGGATATCTGGGACATGCAGAACATCCTTAAGCTTCAACTTCTCCAGAAGTTAGCTTCAGCACTACTGTGTGCTAACTCCAGCCACATCAAACGTGGAGGAGTTTCCCATGTGAAGTTTCCGACTATTAGAAGGAGTGTAATCATAAAACAACTCCTTGTCGGAACACACATGACGAGTGGCACCAGTATTGATGTACCACTTACTTAGGTTATCCGCCATATTGGCTTCAAAAACCACAACCGACATATCGAAGTCGGTTAATTCACCCGACACAGGGCTGTGTTCAGCAACGAGGGCACTTGGTTGCACCTTCTTTTGTCCAGCCTTCTTATGCTTCCTGCAATCCTTAGCCATATGGTTCAGCTTTCCACATTTGTAGCAAGTGCCGGTAAACTTCCAAACCTTGGTTGGTTGCTTCCCTTAGTCAAGAGACTTGCTCGAGTTGCCTTGCTCCAGCAAGTTAGCACGAGCCTCCATCATCAGGGTTTTCCCGGATGAATTACGGTTGCCCTCCTCAATATGAAGACGAACTACCAGGTCTTCAAGACTCATTTCCTTCCTCTTATGTTTGAATTAGTTCTTGAAGTCTTTCCAACCAGACGGCAGCTTTTCGATCACAACTGCAACTTGGAATGACTCACTCAGAGACATTCCTTCAGCATGGATATAATGCAAAATGAGTTGGAACTCTTGCACTTGAGACACGACGGTCTTAGTGTCTAACATGAAGTCAAGAAATTTGCCAACGACTTCGCCCCAGCATCCTCAGTCTTGTACTTTTTCTCCAAAGCAGCCCAAAGCTCTTTGGCAGAACCAACCGAGCTGTACACATTGTACAACTCATTACTAAGTCCGTTCAGGACATAGTTACGACAAAAGTAATCACCTTGCCCCCAAGCCTCGTACGCAGCGCGTAGTTCAGCATTGGTCTCATTTTCAGCAATAATTGGGGGGGTCGTTCTTTAGGTACTTCACCAAACCCAAAGTAGTTCGGTAAAAATGCATCTTATGTTGCCATCTCTTGAAGTCAAGCCCGTTGAATTTTTCGGGCTTTTCAGCAGTAGGGACACCGGGAAGTTTATTCGGCCTTAGGCTGCGCGGAATTTGTCCCGAGTTAATTTCAAGTTATTTTCTTAATTACTAATATCGATTATCTAGTTTTTTCGTTTCCTTTCACCCTTTAACTCTATCAGTGAAAGTCGTGAGTTGTAGATCATAAGCGGAAGCAACTATTTGTTTCTTAATGCTCATCATAAAGGTCTGAATGCCGACATTTTGTTCTAGTAAAATTCTATCATTGATTGTCTAGGCTTCTTAAAAAGTTGGCAATAGTATTCCATTCAGTCAGTGTTCACTAAGATGGTCCAATGCAGCCAAATTGCAAATAGTATCAGAAATCCTAAAAGAACAATATTAAGGTCAGAAATGTACTGGGGTTGATAAGAACTGTACCCGGGTTGATAGTCATTGGATTATGCCAACTTTGTTCGACATAGGAGACACCAGAGAGAAAAGAAAAATAAAAAGAGAAGAAATGGTGGCAGACCCCATCTTTTGATTCATTAGGAAATAGTACACTAGTTCGGAAATTCTCCGCCACTGTCGTCATCCAAAAGTCTTTTCAATAGAGATGAACGAACATGTTATCAATTTTCTCAAGCAATTATGCATTTTTAAGAAGTGATTTTTCATAGAAGTGAAAGTAGGTAAAATAAAAAACTTAAATAGGTTGTAGTTTTTTTTTAATAGGATCTAAAAGTTGCTAAAAGTCAAAGCTAGAGTATGAAGGAAGAAAACCATTTCGTAATTGCCATTTGAGTCGGAAAATATAGTTATCCCGAAAAGGAAATAATCAAATTATGATGTACTTTTTCTTCTTTTTTAAGGTCAATGGAACTTGTTGAGAACCATAAATTAGACATTGTGAAACGGTCAAGCCCATCGGTTCACGCGTTCGACGGGCAGTCATTGTTTAACCTGCACCGGCCCGACGGTTCTGGGCCGCGACTGAAATGTGAAATTTAATTTAATAAGTATAGTTGGAATTGGGGGCGGGGATAAAAGAAATAGACTTGATCTTGGTTGAAATATTATAAGTTAAAACAATGATATTTTAGCTTGTAATATCAATTAACTTACCTACATATTCTTTACATTGGGAATCAAAGTCTTCGTAGTTCGTCTACCATACTTTGATGAAAAATGACGACATGAGTATTCAACGTTCCATTCTCCGTCGTCGTCGTCAATTCCGTCGGTTCCAGTTGTGATATTAAAATCATCTGACTTTTCATCATCCTCTTTGAGTTTCTATTGTCGTTTGTGCTCTTTTTCCGTCTTCTTCCAATCGCTCAACAACATTTGTACCTCTAAGTTTTATTGTGTTAACCTCAATTGTCGTTCGTCCAGATTGTCTCCTCCTTTGTTCAACCGTGGCCACGGTTGGGGCAAGGACCACAAAAATTTTATTGGTAATCAACTATGGAAGTCTTCGGTTTTTTTGCCACTAATCCAAGACATCAACGTCAGATTGGAGTGACACTTTAGGTGGTCGAACCACCTTAAGTATGAGATATGCGATCAAGTAGTGACCGAATTCATCATATCTAGTCCCATTCCCAAGACATTGACATCGAATTGGAGTGACACTTTCGGTGGTCGGACCACCTCAAGTATTAGATCTGCGATCAAGTAGTGACCGAATTCATCATATCTAGTCCCATTCTTTCTCGCAATCCCACCCGTTGAGCTATCGGCATCTTTGTAGACATCGAATCACTTTGGCCCATTCTTGGAAGTTTCCGCCAAAATCCACCGTTTGTTGAGAAAATTGGGAAGAAGAAATATAATGTCCGATTGTTGTTTCTCTACATAACAAAGATTTGTTTGCTCAACGAGAAGTGGTTTAGAATGTTCATTGACAGGAATAACATCTAGGGGAAAGATAGTTGATACGTAGTGTCATAATAAAAGTGGAGTTGGTTGAACAATCCAATTTCACGTATAGATGTATCTAATAAATTCTTAATTAAAAATATATCGAAAATGTAAAAATAATATTTAATCATTTCCGCAACATATCATTTACAAGGTCATGATAGTCTTTAGGATCACTAGCATATAAATCTCTAAATCGCCACATTGAAATAGTGACAAGTCAGAGCAAACACCAGAAAGAAGAAGGGTGTAATTTCCAAAACACCAAAAAGTATATGTTCTTTAGCTAATTTTGAATTTCCCCTCCAACCCTAAACACTCCCGTAGTCTGGCAGCTGCTTCGAATATTTAACATCTTATATTCTGGTTGTCATTCTCCAGGTATGAACTGACTAGATTATCTATTCATGAATACGGAGATGACTGCAAGTGGATTGAGAGATTTGCAGGCATGGAACTCGCAATTTTCTGCATCTCCTTGAATGATTATGACCAGTTTGTCGGGGGTGACAGTGGGGCCCCAGTCAACAAGATGATAGCCATCCAAAAGGCCTTTGAGAGCTTTGTTACAAGGTTTTATCAGACAAAAGTCCTACTACTTCTAACTAAACATGATCTTTTCGAGCAGAAGATAGAACGGGTTCCTCTGCATCTATGCGAGTGGTTTAGTGATTTTCACCCAATAAAAGATGATGGCAGCCAACACTTGGGGCAGATGGCCGTTCACTATATCTCGCACAAGTTCAAGAGGTTATATGCAGCCCTTACTGGCCGAAAATTGTATGTTGTGCCTGTAAACTGTCTGGTGAAGGATAGTATAGATGGAGCACTCAGGTACGCAGGGGAGATCCTCGACTGGGATAAATGGAGTCGAAGTTACGTCACTGATGAAAGTACGTCCAGTGATGACGAGTAACTGAGGTGAACTTATTATAGTGGCATGTATATAGAGATATATCTGTCATGTGAACATATAAGCCTTCTTTTTTGGAGTTTGGATAAAAACACTTCTTTTGGCAACAATTTTTCTTCTGTATTACTATCTGTGATCAACTTCAGCCTGAATGTCGTTCTAGACCACGTTCAAGCATTTTAGTGTAGAGTTGCTGCTGTGTTCATGCCTTGCATTTAACCATTGTGTGAACTTGAATTAATGTAAATGTATGTGGAAGTGGGATTAATATATTTTGTTATTTTGAGTTTCTTTCTTTTTCTTTTTTTTTTTTTTAAAAAAAATAAATGGTAATAACCCTTTATTTTGCTTTTACAAATGACACCCACTACATTCTAGAGGGCTTATTTCTCAAATAAATACAATTTTTATAGGGGTTGGTGTAACTTGTAAGTATTTGTAAAGAAAAAAAATTCTTTCTTTTTTTTAGTAATCAGGCCAACTAGCGGCTTGTGTAATTTAACCGAAGTACTAATGCATATGCAATGCTCTTCCATGACCGTGAGCAATTGCTAAATCCTGCACACAGGAGCTGAAAATATGATAGCATACAACACCCAGGGAAGGTGAGCATCCATTACATTTGGTTTAAGTTCAAGAAGCTCGATGTGGCCCTGGCTGATTGGAAGCCATATGGTAAATTGTCTGGCACAGAATAGTGTACATGAGTCAATTGTGGAGGAAAGTTTTAGTGAATAGTAACAGAGGTGATCTTATAACAGTTAAATATAACCGAACTACACTGAAATGTACGGTTCAATTCAGTATTCGGTTTTATCA